CCAGGCTAGTGGAGGTTAACACCTAGGCGTTCCCTTCTTCCCAGGCTCCCCTCTCCCCTCTCCCTGCTACCACTACAGTGTGCCCAAGGACGCTTGAAGTCCATCGCTATCATGTGCGCTAGCTAGCACCTAAAGACCCTTGCAGGTTGTTCATTTTAACCGGGGTACTTCAAAAATAGCCCACGGTTCGCGAAATCCCATATGATTCTGGGACTTTGTGTTGACTAACCATGCCTAGGCAAAAGAGTTTCCTGGGGTTGAAGTTGAGCTGCCAAGAAAAGCAGAAGACGGATCAAATCCTAGAAGCTTCAAAGAGGCGGGACAGCGACAGGCTAGTCATGACTAGTTTCAAGAGGATCAAGGCCTCTAGTGGTGCTTTGTACCCGGGCTTTTGAAGAGGTTGTTCTCCATACTGATTGCAACATGGCTCAGTATTACTATTGCTAACAGCCTGTGTTTGCTTTCTATTCAGTTTACCTAAACCAGGCATAATCCTAGCAGCTGCCCTTTTGATATGAATTTTGAATCAAGCGGCCACGTATCCAGACGTATCTAAATATATATATATATATATCACCCGGGCCAGTCAGCTTCTTCGGGTAATAGCCTCTCACACAATATAGTCCGTTTCGTATCCATCAGAAACTTGATATTGAGCAAACGAGTCACGGGACCAGCATCTTTTGTACTCTCCCACCCAAACCACGGAGAGGGGTACATCTATATTTCAGTACGTGTATAATACAGGACTTGGCAGGCTAGTAACCCCAATACCGCCGGGGCTGCGGCGTTAGTGAAATCTCCTTGCCTCCTTGCTCGTCGGCCAAAGCAAGCTTCGCTGCGCTGGCTGATCTGGGCGACCTTGGCCTCCACCACCTCCACCTTTTTCTTCTCCTCTCCTCTCCGATCTCTCCTCTCCTTTGCCTCTACTGTCCTCATCTCCTCATCTCATTCCTCATCTCATTTTCGCTCTTCTACCTCCTACCCCAAGCCGAAACTACGCAATACCCTGGGCGCAGTGTCTCCACGTCAGAGCTCCTAGTCTTCCTGGCTAGCTACGAACCCTCACATTTCGAGTCTAATCAGTTAGCCGAACCTCATTCTTCCTAGCACGTCCACAGTCAACCCAGTCACCATGGCGAAAAAAGATAGCCCGCTGTTTCCCCGTATGTCCAAGAAGCCTCCCTTCACCGTAGAAGCCCCCGGTGTCCAAAAGGTTGAAGGGGAGACCATCCCCCGCAGGCACCCTGCCGCGAAGGACGGCCTCGTCAGCAAACCTCATCCGGAAATCTCAACCCTCTTTGAGAACCTCAAATGGAGCGCGAAGACGTACGGAAATTCCAAAGCGGTGGGATCGCGTCGGATAGTTGGAACCCATGTCGAGAATAAGAAGATCAAGAAGATGGTGGGTGGGGTAGAGCAGGAGGTCGACAAAGAGTGGACCTTCTTCGAGCTCAGTGGTTATACCTATCTTACCTTTATTGAGTTCGAGAAGCTTGTCCTGGAGCTGGGCGCTGGTCTCAGGAAACTTGGACTCGAGAAGAATAGCAGGCTCCACATGTTTGCTGCCACGAGGTGCGTCTCTGGGCTATCCACGCATTTGCTCGCTTGGACTAAATATGCTAACTATGGCTCATTGTGTTAATGTAGCGCACATTGGTTGGCGATGGCACTTGGTATTTAGCCCAGAATCCACTTCATTACGCATTTTATGAAGCCCTCCTAACATCTTCTAGGTGCCGGATCTCAATCGATGACTATTGTGACTGCCTACGACTCCCTGGGAGAGGACGGCTTGAAGCATTCCCTGTTACAGACTCATAGCAGCGCCATCTTCCTCGACCCTGTCCTCCTCTCAACCCTTGAGCGTATATTGAAGGATGCTACGGATATTAAATATGTCATCTATGACACGGCAACTGAGGCCAAGCAGGAACATATTGATAGCCTAAAATCTGGCTTCCCTCACATCAACATTATGAGCTTTGAAGAGCTCCGGAACCTTGGCGAAGAAAATCCCGTAGATCCGGTACCACCAACCCCGGAAGATCTGTGTAAGTACCCAACATGGTATTCATTGCTAGCTCGTTTGCTAATTTGAATGTGTAACTTCTTCAAGGCGCCATCATGTATACGTCAGGATCAACCGGCCCCCCGAAAGGTGTTGCTCTGAAGCATAGCATGGTTGTTGCCGGGAGTATGTCAATGATTCGTCCTTTGAACCCCTTTCCTATTAAACTTGACCTGCGAGGCTAACTCAAGTTTGCAGTGGCCGGAGCTAATGCCAATGTCGGGCACGTTCTGGGCCCGTCTGACGTGCTTCTGACCTATCTCCCGCAAGCGCATATCCTCGAGTTTATATTTGAGAATCTTTGTCTCTTTTGGGGCGGAACAATGGGCTACGGCAGCCCGAAAACACTTTCTGACACATCCGTGCGAAACTGCAAAGGCGATATTCGTGAATTGAAACCTACCGTCCTAGTGGGTGTGCCAGCCGTGTGGGAAACTGTAAAGAAGGGAATTATTGGCAATGTAAACAAAGGTGGCGCTCTCATTAAGGGACTCTTCTGGGGAGGCCTTAGCGCCAAACACTTTTTGATCTCCGCTGGCCTTCCCGGATCGGGCATCTTGGACGCAATCGTTTTCAAGAAGGTCAAGGAAGCGACTGGAGGTCGTCTCAGAATTATGTTGTCCGGCGGTGGACCGATTTCCAAGGACACGCAGCTGTTCCTTTCCATGGCCCTATGCCCAATGGTTGGTGGTTACGGCTTAACTGAGACCAGTGCTATGGGTGGCCTATGCGATCCCTTGGCATGGACCCATAATGCGATTGGCGATATCGCAGCATCGGTCGAAATCAAACTCGTTGATTTCGCCGAGGCAGGCTATTTCACGAAGAACAATCCGCCCCAAGGTGAAATCTGGATTCGCGGCCCCAGTGTCACAGAAGGCTATTACGATAACGAAGCGGAAACCAAAGCGGCTATAACTGATGATGGTTGGTTTATGACTGGCGATATTGGCGAGTTCGACAAGAATGGCCATCTTAAGATTATCGACCGCAAGAAGAACTTGGTTAAGACTCTTAATGGCGAGTACATTGCGCTGGAAAAGCTTGAGTCGATATATCGCTCCGCCAATGTTGTCGCCAACATCATGGTCTACGCTGCGATAGATCAAACTAAGCCAATTGCAGTTATTGTCCCCGCCGAACCTGCTCTCCTCGCGCTCGCGAAGGCGAATGGAATCGAAGGAGAAAGTATCGAAGCGCTGGTTCACAACAAGAAGTTGAACTCGATTGTCCTCAAAGAGCTACAAAATGCTGGTTACGCCAGTCACCTTAAGCCTTTTGAAATTATCGAGGGAGTTGTGCTCTCCGATGAAGAGTGGACTCCGCAAAATGTAGTTCCGCTTTCCATCAAATCTTCCCCACTCCCCCACATCACCCACTCCCTTTCCTATCATTTTTCTCAGCCATTGTTGTTTCATGGTTATCATTGCTAACCTTCTATTGATCAATCTAGGGCTACATCACCGCCGCTCAGAAACTCCAACGAAAGAAAATCTCCAACCATTTCCAAAAGGAAATTGACCGTGCCTACGGGAAGAAATGATCCTAAGGACTTCTAGCTACCCCGCAAGTTCCTTTGGTTACCCCTGCCCTTTCTCAATCCATGTCCCAGATCCATGCTGCATGGTAGCCACTCAGGAACTACGCGCTATCTAATTTTAGGCCACCTTGGTAGCTTATCGACCCGGAGACAACGGGACTGCCGTTATTATGACCAATTATACCATGTTTTCCTAAGTATATACCAATCTATGTTTTTCGCACAGCTTGCGCTAGCCGCCTTTGTGTGTATTCTTGCCTGCCTGGAAAGCGCCTCACAACGAATGATTTCTATGAACATGGAGATCGAAGACATTGGGCCAGACCTATCCAGTACGGTCCAATTCACTCGTTGCCACCAGTATGCGGATTTCACACCCTCGCTCCGTGCTTGCTGCGCGTGGTATTTGTGTGTTCTCCCTTCCTCTCCTTTTCTGTCCTTTGATTTTGGGCTTTGTGATATACGTTTTGTTTTCGCTGCTCAGTATTGTCCTCTATATATGCCCCAACCTAATCTCTGTTCCAGTCCCTGTATCGAACCTTTTTCCGTATATTTTTTTTCTTTTATATATCGATGTATCTAACTCATGCGCACGCGAAATTACCCCCTACCATGTCCCTATGCATGTTGATGCCTTCCCATATTTCGATATGTTTGTAGTTTCTTTTTCCTTTACGTTGTGAGCCTCTTTTCGGGGTACGATTTGTCGTTTGTCTTTTGTTATTTCTTGCCTGTTTGCCTGCTTGCCTTGGTGATGTGAGGACATTTTAAATATCGATCAGTGACTGTACTTTATTATCCCCGTCTGTTCCTCGTTTTGCTAAGTGCGTTTGATCTACCTGAATTTGTTTTCGTGACCTTTATTGATTTTGTCTATCTATACCTTATTCTCTTTACCTTTGTGGTTTTTTTGAAGTATTAGTGTAGCTGAAATCAATATATATATATATATATATATATATATGTATACGCAATTTTAGGTGGCTATGTGTGTGAACAGGTAACCTGATAGGACACACGTGAAGAGCGCTCTACCGATGAAATAAGTTATAGAGCATTTTTACCTCAGAAGAAGCAGTCATCAAAACTGAAGATGGCCTGCTGGGTCAATGTCAAGTTGTATCAAAGGAGGAGATTCTATTGGGTTGTTTGTTCAGATTCAATATATGCAAAATCGTTACCATCGACCTATAACCGAGTTACATGGTTATATACATATATACTCAGTACATATTCATTCATTCATTCTTTGCAATTTGGAAATCGAGTTATTCCCCATGCTGACTGACTATCGTGATATTTGCCAAGAATCAGGGGAGAGGACGCTAAACCTTCCTGAGAAATATGCCAAGACCACATGGACAGACAGACTGATGAGTGCAACGACCAGGGTAACAGACATACATACAACCTTCTACACCAACCTCGATAGGTCACAACCAGACCTCTCTTTTTACAAATGTCACTGTGGTCGTATGTTCAATTCCCCTTTATGTCTGCTTAGTCATATAAATCCAATTGCTCAATGCGGGAAAACAAAAAGAAAACTGGGTAATTGTACAGCAATACAATTGAAACTAGAAATAGATACTAACCAACCCGGACCGGGCCCCAACATTTCTAGATCTTACCGCAACCTTTCCCCGCGCACGCGCTTCCTCTTCGGAGCCGGCCTGATGGCCTATGCTACGGTCGGGATGTGGTGGTCTCCTAAAATTGAGGAGGCGTTGGGCATGGTGCCGAGCAGCGAGGAGCAGGCGGAGCTGGATAGGAAATTGAGCGTTAAGATTTCCAGTGTTGAGCGGTAGAATTATTGGATGGAAAGGTGGGGGTTGGGGTGATGTGGAATGAAAGAAAGGCAATAGGGGAGCAAAGGAAGAAAGGGAAAGAAATGAAATGAAAACGTGGCTCTGGGCAGCGCCAACAGCAAACAAACGGAATTTGGACTCTGAATTGAAGATGGGATGGGAAGAGATATGAAGTAGAGATGATTTGCGAGTTTATTGTTGCTGTGGCATGGTAAGGGGCTATGGGAGAGACGGGGGAGTACGTTTTGGCGAGAGGAGAGGGGGCTACAGTACGGTGTATGCGGGTGTGTAGCTTGTGCATGTGGATATCACGCCGCTCAGTTGGCTGATGAGGAGCAGAAAAGGGTTCGGGCTGGACATTGAAGTGGCATATACATAGGTGCGGTTGCTGAGAAGGAAGAGGAGGTTGGATGGTGCCTGGGGGAAATGTGCATCTGTATTGGGATAGAGATGTGGTACCAGGTGATCGACGGCCGAGAGTTTTCTTTTTAGCGCCCCCCCTCCCAATTTTCAATTTTTCATAATTCCCTTGTCCTTGCCCTCTTGAGAATTTAATAGAAGGAAGCAAAGCTCGGACAGGGCATGCAGGCCTCAATGACTGCCGTCGTGGAACCGAACCGAGAACTAGAGGATGATTTGGGACCTGATTACACAAAAAAAAAAGAGTGGAGTTGAATATCAGACTGCCCTAGTACAGCCTACCCCGTCATCGTGGGAATGCGCTACACCGACATGGACCTCGGATTGGATTGGATGGCTAAGGTGAAGTCTGACATTCGAGGAGGCAGAGAGGAATTGGCGATCAGTTCGTTTGAGACTTGCAGCTGAAGTTCTAGTTGGAGTAAAATTGATTTGCCTCTTTCCGTTGTCAAGGCGCTTGCTCCCTTCCTTTCAAGCCTTATTTGACTTCCTATTATTTTTATTTTTAACTTTCATTTTCTTTTTAAAATCGGTTCTTCTCCGTGCTGTTGATCAGCCACCATCCCTCCATCATCGCCACGCATCTAGAATGCAGGAATATACGCATTTTGATTTTCATTGCTGATGCTGTACCCATAGAGATATGCCTCGTCGATGGCATTGGATGTGTTTCAAAAAGCTGTTGCCGTGATTATTGTGACGGACTAGATCAGTTCGTGTCGATCGACGAGGCATGAGCATGCCCTGTTTTCCGATAGAGCAACGGCATGCAAGCGGGTGAGTGTGAGAAAATTGAACAGCTGGTCATGCTCGTTTCCATTAACCCTCACAACCGCCCTGCAAGTTTAGACTGCTAGTCTTGTGCACCCTCTCCTTCTGGCCCCCTAATGCTGCATCATTCGCTCACATCGATCTCTTCGAATTAGTAGATTTATCTATGCGAAAAAGAGCAGAGTCCAGTTCACTGAAAAGTAGTTCAAAGCAAATCAGTTCGTACTTGTCCCAGCGCGTGCATGGATATTACGACTCTCCGGGACGGGATATCTGATTTTCACATTAATTCTCTATCTCCGCCCCCAACTTCATCCTGGGAGGCAATCTTCCTCCAACCGGCTTATCCGATACTTGTCACTATGACGGCGTCTCTTACGGGATGTTTGTGTACGCATATGCAATATACTTGAGACAAAAATCAATGAGAGCCGAGATCTATCATCCGCCATTTGTCACATTGGCCCAGGCCCAGCCACCATTTTATGAAGAGTTCCAATATGTTAAAAACTACGTACACTTATGCATCTTTTGATATTCTGATTTACAGCCTGGTCTGCATTGCTAGAGCCGCCGATGTTCGTCAATATCCACTCATCGATCGAACCAACTCACATTGGCTGGCTAGGGACTTGAGTTATAATTACTCTGTGGATCAGCCTTCACGTTTCTGACAGTTCACGATTTGAGCATCGGCACCTGATGAGATGATGTCTCAAGCCACCATTCATTCACGTTTGACTTTTCGATCCCATTACTTCTTCACCTTTCCCCCCTCCCGGCGCCCCCCCCACCCCAACACTTTCCCCGTCTGCAACTATTGATTGGGTCTTTTGAAATTTCGTTGTAGAATGGTGCTTCGCTCATCCTAAAATCCGAATGAACAGGTTTCACTTCTTTCTCGATCAACATATCTTGGGCACTATTGTGATCACTAAAATAAACGCCTGAGCTTGCAAAAATCATGCAGCGGGAATCAATAGGAGAGAAGCTAACAAGGGATGGCACAAAATACGTGCCTTGACCAGATTCCGGCCGACGACACACCCGCTTATGTCTGTATGTTGTGTCTTTATCTGTGTGCTTTTGGTGGCCATGAGCTAATGGAAGAGTGTAAGGAGTGTAATACCAAGCACGGAGCCCTGTGTACCCATTCTCTGCCATCGTGTTTTACATCGCCCTTACTATTTCGATAGAAGCCGGTTCGGGGTGCGTAAAACCAAAAAATGGAAATATAGCTAATCAGTATGGGTACCTACATATGCATATGCTTATTTGCTCTGGTGAGTGATTATTGTTTTGCTAACTGCTAAATACTTTTGTTGGATTTCTTTCCCCCCAGCTAGGAGATCATTCCAGCTTTAATTTTGCAAAGATGCGGAATGAAGCAGCTTTATGTTTATTTCTGCTGCTCTCAAAATTAAAAGAATAATACCATAGATTGGTACATCCTAAGTTAGAATTGAGTACATGTTTTGGCAGCCTCTGGATATATCATATATATATCTCTCTGGAAGCTCTGATAAAGGGATAAATAAAGGGGATAAGCCAGAGCTAGGGCATAGGAAATCACGTGGCTTCGCTATCTGGGATCTATGGGAGAGAAATGTCGTTCTGCTTCGTAGAAGAGATATGCAGCATGATACCGTGCCGTAACTCATTTCACTTAATAAACAAAACCTCCATGTGGCTCGAACTCAAACTAACAGCTACCTATCATCTGCTATCCTTGTCTCGATTCTCAAGGGGAACAAGCTTCCTTAACGGACAAGAACAGACCTTGCGACGATACATAGCCAGTGAGAACTTCGAGCGCACTTCGAAGAATCTCCAGAAAAATAAAACAAAGCCCACAAACATACAAGCACCCGGCAAGACTCCATTTCCCTTTTGCTCTCCCCCCTTCCATCCCGATGCGCAACCTTCACACGTCCCACCTTGAGCACCGTACCATTTTTTTGTGTGACATTCTGGTTTCTTTTCTTTCTCCCAGTCTGCTTCTACCTGCTGGGACCCCCCTTCCCCCGAATTCGAACGCAAGGCTTTCAAAATAATGTGAGATGAGTAAGATGCTAAGAAAGCCCTTTTGCTGCCGCTATCAATGCAATTCGACCCTGTTATCAAAACCAGGAAGCCCAGCCAGGAAGCACTTTTGATTCCATGCATAAATAAAAACATGTATGACAAAAACAAATGAAGGGAATGAAAATAAGAACTAGAGCATAACAGAGCACAGCATGTGAAAAATTGATTACACCACACCATGACCCAACAATTTAGGTAGCTTCGCGTTTGATAGGCAGCAAGTTCTACCTCCGCTCTCCATCCCATCCTATACTTCTGTGAAATTTTGGCCACGAATATCAACGGAACAACCTTTCACTGGGACCGAGTTCAGTAAAAAAAAATCAATGGTGGATAAAAATGATGAATTGAATGACATTAATAAGGAATATAATCATATGGAAATTTTTTTAAGGTCCCAGAATAAAGAGGGAAGAGGAAAATGGAGACTTCAGACATAAGGTTAGTTAAAATGAAGGTAACAGCGAACATTTCAATTGCGCTGCGGTCCCGAATGAAGATTGTATGAAACTCTGGGTAAATGGAAATCGTTATGCGTTGATGATAGGTAGGAAATAGTTGGGAAAGCAGCCGAGGAATGCGCAACCCCTCAGATGATGTAGTACCATCATTAGTCAATCAACTGAAGGAATTCAAGAACAGAGACTTTGGGGATTCTGGGTTGAGTCAAAGCGGCTGTAAGAGGTGTCTCCAGAACGACTGGCATAGGACCCACCAAATCTAGGACCTGAGAGCTGACTCAAATAACTGGTGGTGTTGTGCCGCTTGAGATATTGATTTGAGCCATCGTGCTCATTCTGCAAGGCTGGAATCATTGGATCGAATGCTGCGCTATAAGTGGCGTCATGCTCCTCTTGTGTCTTGACAGCAGCATCGTCGTCATAGCTTGGCATATGTAGGCGTAGGCTTGACGGTTCGATGCATATTTTTCTCGAATCCGGTGAAGCAGTTGTAAATGTTGGGTCACCGTAAGCGCCTGCGGTAGTGGTGTCTTTGATCGTCTCTAGTGGATCCATCGAGCCATTCATCATGGTGTAGTTGTTATAATCAGGTGAAGACGACGAGGAGGATATTAGAGGGCTGGTTGTTAAAGGGGAGTGGTCTGTAGACGATAAGCGGTGGTAGTTATATGAAGTAGGAGCACGATGGCTTCCACTGTACTGTGACATTAGTGAAAGGTGCGTGCGCGGGCCGTGCCCCATTCCTGGTGGTAAGCAGCCCCCTCCGTTGCCATCCCCTGAGCTTCCAGTGCCACCATCTGGCCCCATGCTTGCGGAACTGTCTCGTCGACCGTCCTTATAATGCCCCGGCGACCGACCTCGAACTACCATTGGATGGGATAATCTTTTGGCTATTAAGACCCACTGAAGATCAACGCCATTTGAGGTAGGTATTTCGGCGTAGAGTTCAACAACCAGATTATAATACTGTTGTTGGGCACGACGTTTGCCATTATTCGCCGTTGCCTTTTGAAACTGGATACGCTCAAACGTATGGGAAGTGGGTGGTTGTGACGCTTGGGTTGCTCCTCCAAAGGATGATCCGTAATCTAATGGCAAGCTCGAAGTGTGTGGTGGTGCGGCGAACGAAATAGGATTGGGCCCAAGTGACGATGGATGGTTCATGGCGAGGGATGGGGGTTGCGTTGGATGTAGAGTTATCCTTCCGGGCTTCTTTTCTGATTGCTTGTCTCGTTTTGGAGTATGTTGGACAAGTTCCCGCGTTTCATTCTCTTGTGCATTCACGACCGCAGATATTGACATTGCGAACGAGCGAACGCTCTGCGGGTTGCTGTTAGGAAGTTGGACATAAAGTGGAGAATTGGGAGTCCACGGGCGGAGCGAGAACGAGCAAGACACGGAAAAGTAGTTGCGACGATAGCACGTCCATTTGTCATCCACCTGAAAGAACCCTTTGTGTATCTTGGCATGAATTTCTGTATTGAGTGTTTGGTGGCTATTGGTAAAAACGGAATGAAGCACGTTGGTTTCGTTAAACGGGGGAGCTTCTGGGCTGGATTGAGAAGTCCGAGATGAGGTATCCATCAGATGGTTGTACATCGATGAACCATTTGTGTGGACATCTAGAGCCCGTGTAGCAGGGTACTGGGAATAACGTGATATGTCGTTCATGGTATGGTGCGGAGATGAATATGCATTCCGATTCATGGAGTATGACATTGAATAAGGATCAGTCCTTGTTATCAACCCGGTTGGCCCTGGAACCACTGTGCCCTGTGATTGCAAGGGTGGTGACATACCAGAGGGAGGCTGACTGTATAACAGAGTCGTTAGTATGAGAAATTTGGTGTCATAGAGGCAGACCCATATGAAATAGGGGGATAAGCATACAGCGCAGGTACCCGTTGGATTCTTAGGTCCCCCATTCTGTCGTTCCACTGCAAGTTTGTTGGATGAGAGTAAGACGATGGTGTTGAAAATCCTTCAGTTGAAGTCGCAGTGCTCGGGATGGAATGTCTTAGAGAAGCATAAGGGTATGAAGACGTAACCGAGCTAGGACTGGTTGAGGATGATCCACGAGAGGGTTCGATCGGGTTCATGAGAAGTCCAGGTGCAGCATTAAAGCTGGAGCAAGAGGATCCAAACATTAGTAAACTGACACAGGTTCACACGTGTAAAATATTGATAAGAGGGAGTTTAATGAAAAGCAAAATGAGGCACTGAAATAAGGAACTACGGCACCATCAGTAAAAATAAATTCCAGAACAGTCCTTTGGCCTGGGGAGGGGGGGGGGGGGGGATATCTGTCAACCACCCGCCCTCATGCAGCAGGGCAATAATATGACAACAACGAGGAAGGATGCGCTTTCTAACTAAGCAAGGCAATAGTTCGAAGTGGCATGCCACACAAGACAAAAAGGTAGCAGTCAACTTGCCAAACACCGAGAGAGTGTGGGAATGCAAGGGCAGTCAGAATTAAAAGGAAGATGGGCACCTACGGCACATCTTGTACCGCAGAATGTTGTGCGGCGTACCTAAAGCCGTTGGTGACGGGTACAGAACCCGGGTGTCCGAATTGATGCCCCAGTGTATCGGTTCTCTGGTGCCCAGGTTCGACGACTTCGGTCGGGAAAGAAGTTGTGCTAGGGAACGTTCGTTCGTTTGTGATGTACTCGCTCTCAGAATAGACAGGATATTCAAGTTGAAAAGAATTTTGAAGCAGTGCGGCTGTATGAATTCGTGTTAGATTTGGAGATTTTAGAAATTGTATGGTAGTGAGAAGGAAACAACAGAGGCTCGATCGATGGAAGAGATGCGAACGAAGTGCGGTGATGCAAAAAGGTAGGCTCCGATGTAGCTAGGTTGCACGAGCATGCATCGGTTGGAAAATCGGTCAAGAGAAATCAATGCGAGGGGTGGGAAGAAGGAAGTGTAGAAGAATAATGCTGGAATCAAAGAAATCATGGTCAAGACGGAAAATAAATAAAAATGGGAGAATAAGGAAAAAGAAAATAAACGCCCCCAGCGAAAACGTGGACGATCTTCCGCTGACAGCGGGTGGTGGGCTAAATAATCCAGACAAAGTATCTTTGAAGTCGTACCAGATGAAAATAAGCTTACTATTATTCATTTGTCAGGTCAAAAATTCTGCCGAAAAACAGTAGGGGAAGCGCTGCTCGATTGGTAGCTCGACTTTCGGGGAAAGTCCCAAGAAAAGGAACCAGAGGATGCGCTCCAAAACTGCAGGCAGGCGGATTTAGACCAGTTAAGCCTTGCGGTAGTCGGGCGACGCTGGAAATGTCGGTAACAATGATTGGTAGGTCTCAATCCTGCTCGGCAGACCCTCTTCAGGGTGGTTGAGAAACTTGTGAAGGTCGGAATTCAATAGCTTCTCGAAGGGTCGAAGTATGGAGAATATGACAATGGCAACAGCAGGCGCTTCATGCCACCAACCTCGAGAGAGAAAGACAATACAGTGGAAATCTGGGGAAGCGGCCGCAAACCTTCAACTAAACTTCCTGATTCTTATCTGTGGGTCGCGAATGACAATAAAGTCGCAGAGATTTGCATATCGGGGTTTCTGTCCATTTATTTCACCACAGCCGAATTTATAGTTTGGCACATTTGCTGCCGACGCGTCGAATTCTATACGTAATTTGGAGAAAATGACGGACCATCTGCAGTTCGGAGGAAAAGAGTATGCTCCGCCGGAGAGGAGCTAGATTGATGAAATGGGTGTGCTAGAAATGGACGGAGAAAGACGGAAAAGGTGTCAATAAGTGGCGGCGAGAAAGGGAGGGCTCTGCTCTCCAGCCTCACAAATCAGTTCGACGAGGATCACTCTCTGACAGCAAACAGGCCAGGCAAAAGTGTTCAGGTGATTGACTACTAAGAGTCAATGTGAACGTGAATGGTGTAGAAAAGGAAAAAGAACTTGCGGAAAAAGTAATAATCATAAAAATGATATGGATAAGGGCAAACTAGATGATAAAGACAAGCCCGTCGCAGTCAGCTGCACTTGCCTTGAAAGTTGAAATCGAGTAAGAGATAAATGTATAACGACAATAAGCGGCATAATGAAGCTTTAATAAAACTTCACTTTTAACGGAAACTCTCCATGGAAAATAGGGTTCCACAGGCAGGCGAAGACGCCGAACAGCCCTGGGACAGGCTGTTCAGCTTGAGGTAGTGGGAGCAGCTTATTGGAGCAGATGAAAGATTTGAAGAAATAATATTTAGGGTAGGAATCGGCAAAATTTTCTTCTCTTCTGCGTTTCCACGCAGAATTGAAAATTAAAAAACAACTCGATTTTCATTGCTTTTTGCTTTTTCCTGCGTTGCCGTTCTTTCTTGGTAATTTATTTTTATTTTTCTGCACCTCCCGGTTCTGTCGATCGAGGACATGAGAGGGTAGAACTTTTTGGGCTCGTGCCAACAGCTGATACATAGCCCTATCGTATTTGGCCGCCAATCAACAACGAAGCGAGCACGAACGAGATATCCCTCTGGACCATTTCGTGAGCGATCCTCAGTTCAGGGTAGCCTAGCCAGCATGGAATGTAGTCCGTATCTCGAGAGATAATTTATCTATTTCGCGTTCGCAATATTCGTATTATTCAAGATCCCAGAGTTCCAGAAGGGCTTCCCGATGAGTGGAAGTTACGGTCGTAAGGGCACGCACAAAGAAGAGGCAGCAGTCGGTAGATGGTTATTGGCCCCTGCCCTACCCAACACTAGGATCCTCCGAGTAACCTTTCATATCCCCAGTCGAGCAGGGTTGGAGACCCATCTGCCGAATTCGAGAATGAAGAATGGGTACAGTTCACGGAAGCTAGGGATCGTTAGATATTTTCAATCAAAAATACATGCTCAACAGTTCAGTTTTCGTTCTATATCTTCGTCATAATCGAACTTCCATTTTTTCCCTCCTGCGTCAGTATAAGTGCGAATAACCGCATAATAGGTTACTTAATTGTCTCTTTCTCCTTTTCGAGCAGGGCTAAGTCTCGCCGTTCTTTAAACTCCACGGCTCGCAAAAACAAAGCTATAATAGCAGTTGGAATCTTATCCAATCCTACCTCTAACGTCAATACGATAGGATTTCTGCAAATTCGTGAAACTCCAAGAGTAGGAAATGTTGACACTGGGCAAAGATCAGTGTCATTTAATCAGATCAATAACGAAAGCGTCTCATCTAGCAGCAATCATAGTTAAGATGGATGTTGATGGAATCAACCGAAGCGGCTCCATTCATGATTGTATCCATCCGCAACTTCGTCAGTGCTTCTAAGAGAGAAAGACCACGTAAGCACAAACCGGAGGAAGAACTGTAGAGAGCATTCGACTAAAGGAGCGGTAGGGGACAGGAAGCAATTTCTTGGCTTCCAAATACCTTTCCTCTCCAGTACCTAAGGTATACTCTATCATCCAGAAAGGAAGAAAGAATCGGAACGGCTGAAGACACAACACTCTGGTTGGTTAGTGTTAGCAGGTTGAAGCGGTGCAATGAGACTTAGGTCTCAAAAATGACCTCAAAAGTCATTCTACTCAGGTGGTGGTGGTGCTAGAGTGACTGAGGTGTATTCCTCAACTTGATTTCTACGCTTTGGTCTCGTCAGTAAGTACTGACAGCCTGAATGTTAGTACAGCGTATGCTGTTGCACATGAATGCACTTGTCCCGTCACATGGCATATTTATCAATTTCATAAATTATGATCGATTGCCATGCCTTAAAAAAGAAAAAAGTCCGACCCAGTATCGAGATGGAATTGAACAGCCACGAGTATTGAGCTTCTTCCCATGGGCCATGGATGAGGTGTATCTTGTGGCGGGGAGGGATCTGGGCAAGCAGGTCCGGGAGGTACCGGCCCCAAAATATTGAAAAATCGGCAAGACATAGGGGGCACAATCTTTTGGCAAACTTGTGGCTGATTGGTAGGGAATTGTGAGAGGCAGAAATAATTGAATTGGCTGCTGGGTGCGGGAAGGGATGCAGTGAACAATGTTTTGCATGATACACGGACAAAGGCAAGCAAAGGGAAGGATGGGGGGAGGTGGGGGCAACCTGCACTCAAATGTCAGATTCGACTGGTCGATACCATTTTAGGGACCCATCCTACTGGAATATGTAGTGTAAATTTATGCACAGTCTGAAAAGGGGAAACATTGAATGATTGGCCTGGAGGAATTCTGGACATGAGGCTTGACGGTTCGGTGGTCCCATATGCAACAATCTGCTATATCATGGCTGTACCGACTTACCGCGATTTTCTCGTCCATCCGGGACACGTCCTTCATTTTAGATCGTGGCTGTTTGCCCTAGGACCCCACTCATCTGCAAGTCATTCTCGACCAGTGAGGAATGACCACTGAAACAAAGACATCGTTGACTGAGAAAGTCAGATAACTACTCAAGCGAAAAAGAAAAGAGAGTCGAAGAAAGAGAAGTTGAGGCTTGAAAGGAATCGTCCAAGTAAAGTACATGGCCTGTGCGCACAACTTACACCGCTAAGCCTATAACAATATGGCGTTGTTACTAGGCCTGAAATAGATACGTATATTATTCCTGTAGACGAGAAATATCCTTCAAACCGCTGTGTATATAATTATGTTACGGTATTTCACTGTATATCGTAACATTATCCTTGGCTACGGAGTAGTCAGCATGAGGCTGAATTACGGCCTGAACATGACTTTTGACTTCCAACAACCTCAACGCATCCTCCTCATAGCATTGTCCTTGGCCCGACGTTATCGACACATCGCTTCAGCTCGTCAGAAACCCCTTTGTAAGTCTTATCAGAAACTTTATCTACTGCCGTTTACTTGGGAATTCCTCTTCTCTTTGCGGGAACTCCCACGTCCAAGCACACCGCCGCCCAGCCTGTGAAACACAAGAAATCAAACAAACATACTCTTTGCAAATCTTCTGCGAGTGTGTTTAGAGTCGAAGTTTGATACTCCATTTATACGATATGCCCGTCTTGTATGCTACCCTTCAAATAGAACCTTCCTACCCAGGGTTACACATTACCCCTGCCTTTACATCTCGCGTTGAAGAGTGGCAAATCCAGTGCCTACCATTATATCCACCATACTACAGACTAGGTACGTCTATATTTCTGTTTTCACACTGACCCCCGTGCCGCGATGGTTGTAAGACAACAGGGGCAGACCTTTTGGCATGTTACTCGCTCTTAGTTCGCTGGTTTTTGCTGAAGCATTGGCTGTTTCTAAGTCATAGCTTGGCCCGGTGCGGAGTATGTTGGAAATTATCTACATTTTACCAAGTGGATAGTTGACTCTCCGCCCCTGTTCTATCAGTGGTGCAAAAGATGGTATTTGTTGGTTGGGGCTAACGGAGATTCTATCCGCCCTTGACTTCCTAGAAGGGCTACTAATGCCTTCAAAGACTCTCTGAAGGTGTGCCCCTAGAGTGACCAAGGGCATTGAAAATCCAGTCAGTGCGAGTTGTGCCAACTCACACCGGGAACTTCATATTTGTGCTCATTGGATGTGCGTGGCCAGCAAATATGCAGCCGATACGCCATAAACCCGAGACAGTCGGTGTATTCCGTTGCCGTAAGCACTGTCCTAAGGAATTTTAGGCAAACACAATGCTTATGCAAGGATTTTGAAGTCAATAAATGCTATTAATTTACTGTGAATATAGCTGGAAATCTCTAACGATCTAGGACATGCCTGGTCTGGAGAGAAAAGGGTCTTGACGGCAAAACAATGTTGCAATATTGCCATTGTCTCTGAGGCCTGGATGCGGACATTTTCTGCCGAAAAATTCGACAACCCGAGTCTGATTCACAATTTCCTAGATGATCCACCTGAACAGACGTGCGACAGGCGAAAAGCGATCATGACGGCAACCTGGACTCGTATGCCATTACCCTTGGGTTATCCTGTGGGTTCTCAGTTGCCGAATAACCTAACGCTTCTATCTTTTTAACGCTAAAAGTACTCGATGCTCTCTGTGCACTCCATGATGGATTGGTATATTTTGTGTTTAGGAGCACCACGGAAAAGTCCGCCGGTCAGCCTGCTGCTTCCTGACAGTATATGCTTGGTATTCCGAGCCGGGATTTTCCAACTCGCGTTTCTAATCGTTGCGCATGTGACTCGATCCGGCGTCTGGCTTGACGCTTATAACCTCCTAGTGGCCGTTTATAACCATCGTCTTTATTCAGGCTTTCCTGTCTGTACTACATGAGGCATATTACGGGATATTCTGAGTGACCATGTGCAATTCCTGCAAATGGGATTCGATGGTAGCCGCATTTTCATTTTTTCCAAAACGTTGAACGGCGGAGCAATTGGCTACTTCAGAAAAGCTCGAACGGTTCTGAAGTGTGCTTCAAAGCTAGCCTTTGTCGGTCTAGAGAGGCGTAACGTCACAGCCTCGCAGCTGCCGACCTGGTACTATTGGGGAGGGATGGTACCTTGCTAAAGTTGAACGTCTGATTAGTGAATCACTGATCTCCACCCGCTTCTGCTTTCCTTATCCAATCTTTTCCCTGCAATCTTAGGGCCTAGAGCTCATTTTACTTTGAATTCGTGACACTATGTACGAAAGACTATGGCCGTCAGTTCGTTTTCTTGAAACTGGCTGTTGCCGTTGATATTAATTTGATAGTTGTGGTTGATAGCATGCCTAAGCCTGCAGCCATTAGGTCAAGTTTAGTTGGAGAGCAACGTCTAGATTCCTAGCCATATCGTGATCCAGCTCCTGGGCGAATTTGACCCAGGATAACTCGATATATTTCTGGCCAGATTCGACCTGTGTCATTATTATCCAATAACCTCGATTAAACATGGCGTTAATGCAGATGTGTGGTTCGTCCCTTATTATTATTCTATCTGTTCGTGAGACGTGTTTATACCCGCATTCAACAGTATCATTTTGACTAACATTCAGTCAGATCAGCAACCACGTGAAGTTTGCACCGCCTGTGAACTCGTTACACATAGCAATAGACTTCCTACATTATTTCTGTTGGATCTCCTGTTGAAAAGTCTTCCAATACTTACAGCACATTCGAAGATCAGGGCCAAGCCTCATGCGAGGAAAACGGTTTGGCATGAAGTTGTGCCTTGGCCATCGTCAGTACTGTATGTTTTAATGCTGATCCATTCTCCAATAATCCTATGAACAGACAACATCAATCTTCCCCCCCTGCTCTCAAAATTTATCGACAAGCTGCAGATCCCTCTCTGTTTCAAGTTAATGGAAATATTAATTTTTAGTTGGTGTTGTTTCATATATATTTTACTCACGCCAATAGTACTTATCAACTCCAACGGGTGGAGGAATAGGGGAGGGAAAATCCCGATCTGGTAGGAAGATGGAGAACAATTTGCCTTTGCGGTCAATATGACAAATAAACCAACGAACCATCATGCCCTAGTGTATGAGTCGCGACTACACCAGCAAAACACCATAGCTCTCAGACCGAGGTGCAATAGAGGTTGTATGCAAGTGGACGCATCCAACAGCAGCCCACCAAGAACTCCAACGTCGTGCATGTATAACACCTATTTAAGGTTGGAAACCTCTGTCCGGATAGAACACCAGCTGTCCCCTTATTTTACTACCTTGACCACTTGAACGAGCATGCGGCGGGGCGCACAGAGTGATAACAAACCTGCTTGAGCTCTGAGCAGCGGCCAAACACAAAGCCTTGTTCTGAGGCGCCGAGGAAGGTGTAGTTTATCTGGCCAACATACCATAATTTCTAAACATCTGGGTGGCAGCAAAACGCTACTCAACCCTCATCGCAGAGGAGACATTTCCGCGTTCACGTTTAGCGCATAATTGACACGTTTATTAACGATTGAAGCATCAACTGCTAATCAATTAAAGCTCCTCCAACCTGGGAGGTATCAGCATTTGCCTAAAAGGGCAATCTTCTGTCTGATAAAATGAGAAGAATGCGATTCGTTCTTAGTTTCTTATTAATCGTTCTAATATTCAATACCCTCGAGCAGCGGAAAATCTTGGAATGGAAATCTGATCAAGCTCTAGACGATCTAAATTTTGTGGCGTTCCTGCTCGTAAGAAACGGATTGCAAAACTCTAGACCAAATCAAGAGCAGAAGTCTGCAAAAATAAAGAACGAATAGATGAGAAGGAAACAGTGACACCCCACAACCCTAACAAGGGATAGCCGTAGATTATTCTTCACACTTCCATACGGATCAACAGCACTACCATTAATGGAGCCGCCAATGAAATAGCAGAGCGCAGGGAGAAGCTCAGAGGAGAAGAAAGGTATAAAAACAATAAAAACAATGAAAATGTTTAAAGAACCGTTTTTAGATTTTCAAAAAGTTCGGAATACACCACAAAATCTGTATCTCCACGACAGATATAAAACATCCACGCACTCATACATACAGTACCTACCTCATGGAGGCACAGCCATCCGGCAGGTTTCTCGTAATATGTAATAATGACCGCCTATTAAATGCCATTCGTTCATCCTTGGGCAAAAAAAAAAAAAAAAAAAGCTCAAACCTGAAACCCCCTCAACACCCCCCGGGCCAGCCAGTCCTTGACACCGGCCCCCCTCATGTCCCTCTCTAAAAAAAGGTATAAATCATAGATTCATTCGCAAACCCCCCCACCTTCCGGCCCCTCGAACCCGAGTCTGGGCTGCAGTCGATCATGTTCAGTCGATCACGCACCCACAGGTCAACAGGCCTCTTAAAAGTCTTCACCGCGGATCAGGTCAGGGCACGGTAACTTGGCAGCTACCTGCTCAGCAGGCTGATGATCCTCGAAACGCCTCTTACCTCATATTAGTTTAAAAACTTCGGTCCACAGCTCAATCAAGCAATGTCTCGTCAATAATAATACATTAGAATCCCGCCCTTTGGTCGAAGACGCCGTTGGTTATTTTTGCGACCTGAGGCGCGGCTTTGGCTTCGGCAGATAGATGTAATGTACTGTACATACACCACCCAAATAAAGGAAGAATGTCCGGGCTGAAATGGAGCAGAGGAAAAGCTAGGCCTGGCTGGGGTAAACAAGGGCAAGGCAAGGCACAAATGGAAGGTTTAAATTAAGCAAGGGTAAGTAACCAACCAACCACACTAAACTTAACTAACTGGTGGCTGACGGCGGGAGAGATCTTGGGATGATTTACTGACGCCGATCATAAAGAACCCAATCCATGTTTGATATAGCCAGGCAATTCTTCGTTTCCTGCTTTTGGCTAGAGGATATAAAATAAGGCGGGAGTGGGTGGTGGGAAATGGCTTGAGGATTAGTCGGCTCCCTGATCGATCCTCTTTTTCACATTCCATTTTCTTTGTCTCTCTTTCTCTCTCTCTGATAATTCTTTAGGCCGAGTGCCAAGCGGAAGAGGTAATATCCGGCACCGACGATTGCTTTTTTTTTTTTTTTTTTTTTGACATGTGCGCATGCATAGTAAGGGACCTGTAGCTAGGTATCGGGATTATTTCATCTCACATATACGAGAAGAAATAAGAATGGGACGAAAGATCGGTTCCTGTACGTACCTACATACATCACCGAATCACATACCTAGGTGGGTATAGGCTCCGCGAATGTACTCTGTACTAATGTATGGGTGATGCTATATCCGGTGGCATGGGGCGGTCAGGGCATTTTGTGGCGGCGCACTAGCTACTTGCTACCCACTTTTACTCATCGATGTTAATATGGGCTAGTTTGTTTTATCATGGCATGGTTGATTCTGGATCCTATGGGCTGTTTAATCCGCACAACAATAAAAGAGGGGTTTTGCCTGCTTTTTCCATGGAAGCGCTGGCCCAGAGATGGGCTAGTCTCGGGGACTCCGAATGGATAGGAGGAAGACAAGGTCTGGAATTCAATACTCGCTGGATCGCTGGATTCGTATTGGAGGAGACAAGGCCAAAAGTCAAGCTGAAGGGGGAGGAGGTAGGAAAAAAAGGCTGACCTGTTGATGTTCGACAAAATTGTACTAAAATGGCTATGAGTAAAGGTAATGTACATGCCTATACCTACCGAGAAGGGCGGGAACAGGAACAAGAACGGCGGGCAGCTAAGTCGACCCTCATATGTACTACTGTACCTGGACACTCCCATTCTAGAGCGAAAATCAGGGATCGGACCTAGGGTTGTCGCTCATCCAAGCCGCTGGGAATACTCTAAATCCCTATACTTGGGTGCTATTCGCTCGTCCAAGTTCCAAGGTATTCTCTATCTGTACTTGGTACTCGGCTACTGCATTGTTCCAACGCTTCCCTAACACAAAATTATGTCAAGGCTTGTCGAGGCAATTATATTAAGTCCCTGTATATGTACAGTACCTGACAGATTGATAGATGTATGGGTCATTCCGTATTATCTTGAATATATGCTATGCTATATGTCGTTCGTATATGCATTACATACATGCCAGTTATTAACCGTGAGACTAGATGATAACAGAGCATCCAACTCACGAAGAAAAGTGACAGCGAGGTAAATGCAGGACTAAAGGGCCCGGACACGCTACATATAGGGGTTAATGTCCGATCTCATGCATAGGTAGGTTTTTGGGGTGTGGGAGAACAGAGAGAAGAGGCCCTAACTACTACCTATGTTATTTGCGCTTTCCGGCCGCAGCCAGGCTAATAAGCATTTTTCAAATTCGGGGTTCAGTTATGTCGTTCTGTCGGGGAGGCGTCTGGCTGACGTATACAGTGCCTTAGCCGGGTCATTGTTATTCTTAGATTGTTGGCGCGAAGGCACTACCTGGTTGGTTTCCGCCAGTTGGATGTGTCCTCTTTGCCGGATTTCGGGGGTGGCTGTGAAGTCCGTCGTGGGTGCGTCTGGCTTTGTGGATGTGTGTGGAGAATGTGAAGGCATAATACTCCGTAACTATGGGAAGATTAGGCGCTCGTACGGCTTGATCTCTCTCTCTCTCTCTCTCTCTTCTTTTTATTTTTCCAAGTATTTTGGGTTTCTTTTCTTTTTCCTGATATGTGCATGTACTGTACTATGTATACTAGCTCTCCGTCCTAACACCCGCGCCGCGCCGGGTTTTGACAAAAGGAATATTTTGACAGGGATATTTCACAACTCATTTGCCGTCGGGTTGGGGCTATAGCCAGTCTGAGCAGAGAACGAGGGCCATCATATGGACCTTTGTTGTGGGTTGATGAAAGGGATTGGAGACTTGAGGGAACAGCCGGAATCAGCTTCAATTCTTCCCTCTTACCACTTTTTTGTCTTTAGAGATTTTAATTTGCTTGTAGTCGTTCTTTGGATTCGTCCATTTTCTACATCCCGCTATTTCCCCTCAAGCCCTGTTATTGTGTAGCGTTGGTCTTTGTTCTTTGTCGGCTTGGTCCTCTATATTGAGGCGCGATATGGCCGGCACTTGCAGGGTGAGCGATCCGTTTGAGCTTCGGCGGAATCATATACAGTACTTTTGGTTCCTACATAGCTTAGTAGCAATATATATGTAGCCCGAGGAAAATGAGAGCAAGAAGAATAGGGACAACAAGGAGCGCAAACCCGGAGCAGGATATAATGAGATCAAAGTTGGATAACAGCAGCAAGGCAAACATGATCGCGAAACCCTCAAGTGCAGGGTGCCGATAGCAGGTTTGCCTTGATGATATCTATAGTGGACAACAAATGGCACATCACAGGAAGGAGAAAACTGTGACGAATGAAGAACATATGGCAGATGATGCATCAAAAGTTCTGAAAATAAATCAACACTATGCCGGGACCGATGGGAGATAGAATACCCAGTAGAAGGGTTGGAAGAAAAAGGAAAAGAAAAAAGGCCCCCGCGAATAATAGTCTGCGAAACATGGACAATATTAAGCAGCTCCCTTTTCCAATGCTTTCCTTTATCCCGCAGTTCATCCACAAGATTTGTTGGGCAAATAAGAGAAGTAATCTGAGGATGCGGGTTGGGGATTACCAGGCTTGATATAGACTCAAACGGTAATGCAGCCGATGCAATGTGATGTGTCTGTTGGCAGCTTCGAAGCATGTCGTGAGACTTTGAAAAGCGCGTGCTTTATAGCCCTTTGTCCCTCCTCGTAGAAAGAAAAGTCCCAAGCGATAGAAGCGAGGAAAGATGCGTATCCGTAGGCTGGAACGAATATCGTGGCCGTTAATAAACGACATATGGGACAGAGGGCATGCTACCGGCCGGATGGTCTGGAAGTCTAGACGCATGTACGCATTGGATCTTCCTTTATCTGCTGGTCAACGAGGCCCGGGTGTCCAGCGGTGAAGGCCGAATAAGAACTGCAAAATTAGCATGCACAATGTGTTTGTCTATGATGGGGGGAGGAGTGGGGAAAGGGGGGATGCGGCGAAGCATAATGAGGTAGCGTGTTGGTTGGGGATCGTGTGAAGGATAGGGAGCAAAAAAGCAAATATGCAGAAAATGTCCGAAGGAAAGATAGAAGAAGAATCGAAAAGAAAGGGCGAAAGAGTGGTCGCAAAGATTATTTGCTTGCTGTCGATTGCTGCAAGGAGATAAATCCGGGTGGTTAGGGCGAAAGGGGCTCGCACATATTCGTATCACCTAGGATGTATTGGACCTTGGTTGAATGACGTGGTCGGGGCTGCAGCGGCGAGAAGCCTTGTTATTTAATGCAGTCTTTGAATTTTTGTAGATGTAAGTATAAGTAAAGACCAAACACAACGCGATAAAAGCAATGCCAACTGTGTCATGAGGATGAAAATTAACCCTATCGGATGCGTAGGGTGGAAGCGGTCAGAGAAGTGTTCTAAACTGAGCGACAAATCGCGCTAACGCCAGTTCAGGGGGTATGGACAGGATCAAATAAGAAAACCAAGTAGAACACGCTGGCTTATTTTGAGGCCATCTACACATTTTGGAGGAATCAATTGAAGTAGCCATAAATGCTTTCATTGAGCAATCATCAGAGTAAACTGAGGGAAATATTTTCTTTACCGAAACCATATCAATTTGAAAACACCACACAACATTAGCCGAAAAAGAGATCAAATAAATTACGTAGTCTTCTTCGCAAACTCCACGCGGAGGATCAGATGCCGATAACCAACTACTTAACGCATTAGCAGAGGAACTGTCTGTTTGCTGATACACCGCCTTGGGAACTTACAGCCATCCATTTTCTCGCATGCGCGAGCAGCGTCACTTCTATCCTGGAACGAAATGAAGGCGAAGCCTTTCGCCATATTTGTTTCCCTATCCTTTGCCAGGAAGACTCTTGTGACGCGACCGAATCTCTCAAACATGTCTCGAATTTCTTGTTCTTCCGCAAGTTCGCTCACCTGTCGCAGAGTTAGTATACAAGAAGGGAGGAATGTGGTTCTTTGCATGAACTTACGTTTGTAACGCGAAGAGTTGCCAGATCGTCTCGTTCATATTTACCGCCCATGCGCTCTCCAGCCCCAGCACCGCCTTTGCGTAGATGTGGTGGTACGTAGCTGCTGCCGCCGGCACCCAGGCCTCCAGCTGCCCGGTCTTCACCCATATCGTCACCAGCACCCCCACTAGGCTCTTCTACTGGTGCCATCGTATCCTTGAACGGACATCTGGCAGTGAAATGCTCTCCAGAACAAATTCGACACTTGACTTTCTTGTCTTTTAGTTGGTCCTTGATGCTTCCCTTCTCGGGGCCTGCTTTCTCTGCCTCTTTCGCTTGTGCTTTCCAGTTCACACTAGGTCTGAAGATAATATTTTCACCAACGGAGGTAGTGTCGAACGAAGGGCCAGGCGGATGACCCTTTTCACGCCCAAATTTTGTCCATCCTCGTCGTTCTGCGACTCTGGGGTTCACGTGCTCCTTGACCACAGTTGTACGGATTCGGCGGCTTGTTTTTACTTTCTTGCCATCGTCGTTGAATCGATATGAGATAACAGTCTTAGTGCCATCTTTATTGTTGATAACTTGTTGGGGTGGAAGGGATTGGGTTTCTTCGAACTCCTCGTCGTCCGCCCAATCAGCGCGACTGTAAACTGTTAGTTGAGGCTTTTCCTTCGCTGCTAGAAATAATAAGAGGATCAAAGACAAACGTACTTCGCAAGTTTTGACATGGTTATAAAGTCTGTTGTTATGTATGAGGCAGATTCTATTTGTGATATGAGTGTTGGCCTCCTGTCCTGATTTTACTGTGCAATTATCTCGAACTCTTGGCAATGGCGAGTAATAAGTTAGTGGTTTGAAGCCGGAGTTATGTCGGCCCGGATAGAAATGGCTGCACTAACTGCATTGGGACGTTGCCCTAAAATCATGTGATATCAGAATATCTTTTGACTTGGTTCTTAGTCTTTTCACTCATTCCTGTCAGTGGTAACGATCTATGAGTGCCACTTGAATTCCTCTAATACTAGGAAACAAAATCTTATATGTGCATACTATATATCCGCCAAAACCTGAAGACCATTGGAATTGGATTGTGGAAATATTTGCCCCAATCAGTCACTGACCGTGAAATTATTGATGGATCTTCGCATTGTCTGAACATGCGATGCTTGGTCAATGTGAATTGTACCTGGTATCCTTATCATCGAATCCCCTTCCTTAACATAAGCTAGGATGTTTCCTATCGAACAAGAGAAACATAAATCTAAAGCCAGTTGCGTTTCAATGCCACGAAAAATCACTGCAAATGCGCTTATTCATCTCCCCCAATTATGAAAATCTTATCCTCATTCTGAAATACAAACATAGTAGCTCATGTCTTCACTTTGAATGCGGGGCTTAACCAGCAGCCTTGACTCGACATCCCTTTTTCTATACTCTTGGCTCAGTTGTGTTACAATCCAGAAGCTGGGGAAATAGGTGCTGCGCTGAAGGTCATCCTTCCGGAGCTTACAGGGTTATCAACAGCGTTAAACTCATCTAAAATGACTAGTTGCGACACATACTTTGTTTCGAAATATATATACATCACGTCACAATGCGCTTTCAGAAAATCCGGTTCTCCGGCATTCTGAGCATGAGTGTGTTCAAGCATTGTTGGGTTGAGCAATTTTCTTGCCGTTCGCGACTTGCGAGGGTGCATGTGAGGAAGTTGTTCATTCATCTGCTGGAAGAAACATACTGTTTTTCCCTGAGGACTTCGGTTTTCCGTTGGCTTTATTGGAAGATCCGTGTGGAGCGCCGGATGATCCTATGTGTGTTGTTTGAGCATACTAATTCGGGTTGTCAAGACCACTTTTCTGGTAAGTGCTTCTGAGATTACCGGGCTGCTCTGAACTTTTTGAAACCATCCGCAAAGTTATTTTATATTATAAGAACTTTTAACACCACACCAAAATACCATATTATGTTACATAAGACTCGTATAAGAGAGTTGTGGATTGTTACACTCTCAAGAACCAAGAAAAGCACGCCAAACTGAGGAGAAGCGTGCTCCTTGCCCCAAGACGATCAGATACGCCATGGCCAATATTTGGAGGGCCGGTGTTCATGCTCTTTGGCCCGCTGCAGACAATCTTATTACTGTCAAGGGGTTTTCGGACACGTGTCTGGAGGAAGCGTTGGAGAGGTAATGATATAGCTGTTAAAAAAGTCTGTCTTCCCTTCAATCATGGCACTTATCTGGTTATCAGCACATGATGAAGGCATGTACCAGAAGTAGCACGTTAGATATGGCTGAGCAGGTGGTTTTTCCGTATGCGTGGAGTTTTCGGGACTGGTAGTCGAGTAGTTCGATTGTGTCGTATGTTTGTCTTCCCCGTTGCGAAGTCAAGATTGAAAAGTGATCGACGGAATAGTTCCAGCGCAAGCTCTGGCTGATACGAAGGAACCATGTGGCCCGACTGGTATACACGAGTGAACGAATAGTGCTGGCGCAGGCAACCCATGCCCGATTGGTGTGATTGCTCAATACGATCTCCTCGTACCCAGCCATTTTGAACGCGTCAGACTGACTGTAATTGACAGCGAGGCTTACAACCTTGCCGCCGACCCAATTGCAAGCGTAGTCACGGTCGCCATATACCAGCGCCACCTGGACACCTGAATCAAGCAAGTATCCGATTTCACTCGTATATCCTTCCATCCCGTTTCTCGTATAGTCTCCTGTCATGATAAACGACTGCCCAACAACCGGGGAGGTCTCAGTGTGATTAACAGGAACACCTAGTGCTTGCTTCACTTCTGGTTGTGCTAAAAATCCAACGTAATATTCCGGCGGGAACGGATCAAGGTAGCAGTGCGCCATATCATAATAACCCCATTTCATCTCGACAACGTAAGGGCCCTCGATATACTCCAGACAATATTCGCTCGCATTTCTATACTTGTCCTTAACTTGCTCATTGTTAGCGGTTGCGTTGGGATCTAGGGTCCGGGCAAGTTCTTGACACTTGGAAACTAGATTGAGACAAGTAGGAAGATCACCCTCTGCCATAGCCTTGACCGTCTCGTTAATCGCGATAATACCGTAGGAGTTGTTGTATGCAATCGAAGGATAAGAGGGTTCCTAGAGTAAGATATCCATACAACCATTGATGATACCCAGCGTTTCCAAGGACAAAACTGTGGCGTTTGTCCCGTTCGTTTCAATCTCCTTATTTTTCTCTACGATGTATCTCGCGAATGCTAGCCCACATCGACCTCCGTATGACTCTGTCCAGATGTGTATGGAGAAATTCTCCCGCCCGACCAGCAGTGTACTTGTCAAAACTCCCGGTCCAGGCCTGAAGAAAGTACCAGAACTGTATTGCTGCATTTTCCGTTTTATTGGCGGCTTGCTTCACATTCTGGCTGGAGAAGGCCCCTGCAATCCCGGTACCGTTGGGCTCTTCCCCAGGCATAACCTCCCCCGTTAGCAGGTCTAGAACCCCTTTGGTAATATTGTCATAATTAACCCCCTCTGCACAGGCTGGTCGACGTATAACATGTTTGTCCTAGGAGTATTTATTGGTTCGGACGTCTTAGAGTCATAATGGATACGGCACGGTCCATTCTCGACAAATACGCCCAGATCAGAGACTGCACCCGGTCTACCATTAAAAAAATGGACAGAGGATAACTTTTTGAGTTATTGCTTTGGGATTCGGAATACCAGAAGAAGAGGTTGACAGGATAGTCCTGACTAACACCAGACATTGTATTGGGTGGGAATTTTACATAACTAGTGTATGAGGTAGTGGAACTCCCGCCGCATATGTGGTCCTAAATGGAAACAGGTAATCAGCACTCTGAGGAAGATCAGTGGTTGTGCTAGGTGGAAAATTGATACTAGGTAAATGCTCTACCTGGACTTTCTCGTACGATATTTCAACCCCCGGATGGGATGTCTAATTGATCACTGTCAAGCCAGCCGGTGTTGGGGGATATTATGCTTGGACCAAAGTCCAGAACAGGAGAATATTCGCAATAATCATGATATACATTCTCAACAAGCGCGTGACAAGCAATAATCATAAGATAAAATAATATAGATGGTCGAGGTGAAGCGGACGGTGCAGATATTGGCCCTTCAAGTCGACAGAGTTCAAAGCTTTCCCAAATTGAAAGCCACCACGTAGGAAATTAGATCGAGCCCTATAGATATACAAATCTTTCAATAACAAGCGACCCGTGGACTCAACAAGATGCAGGGGGAAGATCGTATCTCGGGAAGTGACCTTAGAGGGAAAGTATCATAACTTCAAGTCATGCTCCAGCCTGCGCGCAGTGTTTGTATGGGAACTGAGTTCTCTTTTAATTTTGGAACCGTTTATTGTCCTGATGTCATTAAACCTTACATCTCAAAGCCGTATTGAGATATATTGAATGTACATGTACCTAGGTAATACGCTAGAAGTAATCCATTTAGTGGACCGCGCAGGAGTGGGCATATGAGAAAATCCAGCATGCTTGACACCATTGCCAGCAGCAGTGGTTACTTGGGGGGAAATAACCAGAATATGGTCGATAAATCAATTCGAAAAAGACAGATAGAGCGGATAAAGCCACAAATCCCTTTGCCGCTGGCGTTGGAATGCGAACTCAATGGCAAGAATTATATTAAAACAACCGCCGAATCCGAAACCGTTTAACGGTTGGTGACGTGCAATTAAGCGCACACTAGCCAGATGATCCGCAGCTAGTTAACTAACTAATGTCTCCCACTAATCCAGACCCGGTAAGTGCCTCGGATCTTCAAAAGCTACTCCCAACGACACCCGGACGCTTTTTTCTATCTTGTCTTCATTCTACATGGTAAAATAAATTTTATTCGATAGCCGTTCATGTACATGAAAATCCATGTGCTTCAACCAATTAGATCACCTACCGCTTTTTGTAATCGTCTATTTCTATGTCTCCATTCCATTGAAGCAATTCAACCCGCAATCCCTGCCACCCGCCTTCTTTTCAACTCAAAATCCGCCGTCCCTAAAAACGATGGCTTCATCCATACCTGCGCTCTGCGAAGAAGTCAAAGGTCTTCTTCCCAGCGACCTAAGAGAGGATAGATGGTATCTACTCACGGTAAGTTTCTTGAACCCTCACAAAACAATATCCCACTCGAAACAAAACTGGAAATATGTGAACGAAGTGGGTCGAGAGAGACATCAAATACAAATAATTGAAAGCTTCTCGGAAAAGAAAAATTGTAGTTAACCATAACCATCCTGTAATATCGGAATGAACAAAAGCGCTAATGGATAATGGAAGGTCTCTGCTCTAGTAGCTTCTGGCAAGCCGACCGAAGTAGGAAAGGTATACGAGTACTTAGTAGACACGGAATATCCCAACCTTACTCTGGAGCAAGAGCGCAGAATAGCTTCCCGGTTCAGTGACCTTCTCATGAAGGAATGGACGCTTGTCGGTATCCCGAGTGTGTTGATGGCTATATCATCGCTCGCAAGGGTGGAGAAATTCTTATCAGCTACGAATATGGGGCTGGGGGAGAAGAGGTACGTAAACGATTATTTCATTATACGTGTACCTGTTATATTATCCTACTTCGTTTTAATTCTATTTCATTTATTTGATATGTCCCTTGTGGCTACCTTCCTATTGCTTGAGTTCTATATATAGTACCGAAGCGAAACCAACACCAGGAAGGACTGTTTTTCAATATATGCATCATCAAGAAGGGCAGCTAGTAAACTAAACAACTCATCGGACAGGATAAACATTGACCTAGAGAAGGACATCACGGAACGCGGTACAAAATTTATTCAGCTCCTCTACAAGCAGAACCTCGAGCCTATATTCGACACGTGGGGGTCATACAAGGAAGAATTCGCCTGGCTGGAGAAGAGTGTGATCTATGGGCTCTTTCTGGCTGACCAGACGGTACTATCTCAAGTGGAAACGCTGCTAGTTACGCTACCCTCGATAATGTGCCAGGGCTGGCCAGGTCCGGCACTGTGGCATCTCCGTGGCCTAAGGAGGCTTGGCCAAAGCGTGGAGGACGTTGAAAAAGTGCAACAAGCGGTAGAGGCTGTTGCCGTTTGGTCTGGGAAGTCAATCGAGGGCTGGCCAAGGGTCACAGATGTTAAGGATGAGATATAGGATTATCCTTTCTTCTTTGGACACTTGATTCTTCTCTCTGGACGCAATCGGAATCATGCGCGATTTCAGTTATATATATATACAGATTTGGGGTGGAGCATCGGTTCACGATGCTGATATCTCAGTTATAAATACACGGTCTGAAATGCGGCTCGCTTGTGTATAGGAGCGTGGGTTTCCGCCGCCGTCATCACTCCCATGCTTAGATGACGTGGTCTGCTTTCTGCTTTTGCTGTAATGCTTAAACTAGCGGTTTATACTGTGAAAAGAGTAAACATGTTTAGTTTAGCCAACCCATACATTTCGAATTGATCCTTGTCCGGAAAGGACACAGTTTTCCGGCCTCCACGTAGTGACAAGGCCTCATTCGGCCTGATAAGAGGCGTGGTTTCTAACGCCCGTGTTAACGCCATTGTATTCCAAATATTTTCGTCGCAGTTTTCTTCGCGGAATTTTTAGTTGCCTCAGCGTTCTCGAGGTAATATCGTTGATGGCCTTTACTTAGTTAGGGAAATTGTTCCATTTTTGGTCGAGTAATGATTCTGGCATACCTTTAACATCCAGGGCCAGGATATTGTATTCAAATTCGTTTGTTTGAGGGTTCTTTATCAGATGTACGCTCACAACCCCGTCGTTGCGTGGACCACTGACCTAGAAGTAGAAAAAGAATGGTTAGAACATGCGATCTTGCCAAGGGAAGGAATAACCTAATTCTCACATTGAAGTTCATTCTCATGTGCTCCCGGCCAATTCGGTCCTTTTCCACGGTGGTTCTATAATGACGGTTTAGTCACCTAATAGCAAAGTGTTTCCAGTTCGAGCTCACTCACGCTATAGGCCTATTTCTAGTCCACTTATTCCATGAAGTCTCCCCATAGGCCCGTATCTTCTTGCTATCCCCAAGTAATTCTATGCATTTCGGGTCTCCTTTAACTCGGTCGACGGCACGATTGAAATTCCGGACTTTGCTGTCTGGCGCAAAAACTTCCTTGTAAAGCAGAGTAAATACCGTACCCTAGGGAGAAAATCAGTAAAATGTCCTGGACACTTAAATACCATAGGATTAAAGGATGCAGACCGTCATCACAGCGCCAATAACAATAATAAGGAAATTTGCAGATTGCTGCGTTGCCCGAGCGGCCTTCTCTCTTCTAGAAAGCTCCCCCCAGCGCACGCGGCCATCGTCACTGGTAACAGTTATTTGTTTTCTTGGCAGTCCGCCCTTTTGTGATGAGGATGGCGTTCCTCCCAAGTTGTTCTGAGTTGCATAGTATCGGGGAAAGGCTCTCCATGGCCTGGGTGGATGTTTTTTTGCGGGGTTCACGGCGGAGAGGCTTCGGAGCGCATATCGGGTACGGATGGCGGAAGTCATGGCTTGGATTGATTAAAGCTCCAGCACCTGCATCAGGGCGAGCAGTACAGGGTGTCACAGGGAGTTAGATAATAATAGAACCGCCATAAACTCCCCAGTAATTGACGAAATGATTATTGTTCGCCAATTTGTTCCTTAATTGCTTCCATATCGCCAGAATCCGTGGGCGAACTGGGGTGCGTTAACATCACGTGTTCCATTAGTATGGCGCTTGCAGCGCGCTTATTCGCGCTTGCAGATGATCCCATTTGGTGGGTTGGAACCACGCTGGCCGCTATCGCACCGACCAACGTCCTCTCTTCGCCAGACAGCAAAGCATTTCTTTGATCTCCCTCTGCAGCGTCTGTTTCACGGAGGTCGTTCCGTGCCGCTATTCACAATGAGTGCGACAAAGACGCAGTCCCAGAAAATTTTCGAAAAGCTAAAATCCAAACCCGCAAATAAGGTGAGTACACCGCCAAAACCCCCTTTTGTCCTGCTCGCGACTTCTATTAACTTGTGCAGATATGTTTTGACTGTGGCACCAACAACCCCACCTGGTCTTCCGTTCCGTTTGGCATCTATCTGTGTTTGGACTGCTCGTCTAATCACCGAAACCTCGGTGTTCACATTTCCTTCGTCCGCTCTACCAACCTTGATCGTGCGTTTACTCCCAGGCCACCCTGTTGGTATGGACTCTGATGTGTGCGTGTGCATGTGCTAACGTTGGATATAGAATGGCAATGGGAGCAGTTACGGATTATGAAAGTGGGGGGGAATGAGTCCGCGACGAAATATTTCCAGTCACATGGTGGAACAGCCGCCCTGGCCAGCAAGGACCCCAAGGTTAAATACACTTCCAATGCTGCAGTGAAATATAAGGAAGAACTGAAGAGAAGAGCACAATTGGATGCGCAAGAGTACATTCATCCTAACATACTTATGTTGCCCTAAATTCACCATGTACTAATGAGTCGTGGGACCAGGTATCCGAACGAAGTTGTCATCACCGATGCTGGGCCAGCGTCTCCCTCTGACGGATCCTCCACCCCCGCAGGCGAAGGCGAAGACGACTTCTTCTCGTCATGGGATAAACCAGCCATCAAGCGCCCAAGCAACCCTCCCTCACGGACAACCACACCACCCGTAGTCAGCCGCAACGGTTCCCCGTTCCTCAGCGCGGGCGCTAACGGCACTGGAATTTCCCGACCAAAATCCCCCCTCTCTAGCTCCGAAGACAAATCCACAGCATCGACCCCACCCGTGGCTGTTCGGTCAAATCCTGCAGTTCGCAAGACCACAGCCGCTGGCGCCAAGAAGGGGAGTGTATTGGGGTCAAAAAAGGCACCGAAGCTGGGTGCCAAAAGGCTCACCACCTCCGATACCATTGACTTTGAGGAAGCGGAAAGGAAGGCTAAGGAAGAAGCGGAGCGTATTGCTAAGCTGGGATATGATCCGGAAGCGGAGAAAGCTGTAGCTGAAGCAAAAAAATCTGGATCTTCGGCTACAAAAATAGCCTCCCCAACACCTGTAAGTCCCGCCCGAGGTGGCTTTGGAGCCACCCGGGGCCATGAAAGGAGCTCTAGTGAAATTGAACGTCTGGGAATGGGTATGGGCCGTCTTGGATTTGGCCAAGTTGGTGCTGCCCCGAAAGCCCCTGTCCCTAGGAAGCTGGGCTTTGGAGCTACTGCCGCATCCAAAGCTGCTGATGGTGAGTGGTCATCGATATCTCCTGGGAAACTTGTGCCTATAGAATATACTAACTGCTTCCTTTCTTACCAATTTAGACGAGGAATTAGAATATGCCAGACAGAAATTCGGTGGTCAGAAAGGTATCTCCTCCGACGAATTCTTCGGCCGCGATCAATTTGATCCAGCCGCTCAGGCTGATGCCAAGAGTCGCCTCTCAAATTTCGAAGGAGCGACATCTATATCCAGCAATGCCTATTTCGGCCGTCCCGAAGATGATCTGCCAACTACCGACGAGTACGGTAATTATGACGATCTGGAAAGCGCAGCGAGAGACTTCGTGCGGCGGTTTGGAATCACGGCGGGTGATGACTTGGAGAATCTAACGCAGGTTCTTGGTGAGGGTGCAGCTAAGTTGCAAGGTAAGTTTTGTTTTGGGCATTCTCCCCACCCGGCTATATTTTGTTTTGGCTTGTATCCACTTTCTCTTGTACGGTTATGATTCTCAGTCAGCTAACGTTTATACGCAGGAGCCATTCGGAACTATCTCAACAGTTAGGCCTACATATCTGCATTGTTTGGTTTCATTTTTCACCTCTTTTTTAAACGGATGCATTCCCCCCTTTCTTTTTTCTGTTCTTATTAATTTACAATGCTTCTCTGAGCTCTTGCCCTTTTACATTTATTTTATTTTTTCCGTTTGATGATGGGGTTCTAGCGGATGATATCTGCACAGGGCCGGCCTTTTCAACGAGGTCGTTGGATACGGAGACGATGATAACGATAACGGCCGGCGATGGCTGGCTAATATGTATGGAAGCGAAGAGCGTTTAAAATAATCTTGCGAGAGTAGAATACCAAATTTGCCCTTGCGTGTCGTTTTTCTGTCTTCTTTCTTTTCTCCTCTTTTTTTTTCTTTTTATATTTTTTCCCCTTCCGTCTTCCTTTTTGTTATTCTTTTTCTTGTAGGTTAGTTCACGTTCGAAATCAATCTTAAAATCTAGTTGATGCCTCTGTAAATAACACCTTAAACAACCGGTTCAAAACGTTTTGCTCGATATAATGGGCAATTCCATTGGACGCTATTCGAGCTCCGCATTAAAATTGAAATTTAGCCTGTTGCACTGCTAGCACACAAAAAGGTAGACAGCCGCCATATCATCGTATCGATCCAAATATATATAAAAGTCCATGAAGTAGAATCCATAATACATGATGTTGAAATATACAAAAGAAGTCCGATCATAACTTTTGTTGAACACCAGCACCAAAAAAATAAAAATAAAAGTGAACATAAAATACAATAAAAGGACAAACGTGATACACAACACCCCTTAAGAACCCACTGAACTCCTTCAATCGCCACGTCTATAAATCGCATCCGCCATCTTCACCACCTGCCTCATCTCCTCAACATCATGAACCCTCACCACGTCCGCTCCACCAGCAACAGCCGCAGTCACAGCCGCCGCGGTACCCCAAACCCTTTCATTCGGCTTCGTAACGCCAGTAATGCGTCCAATAAACCCCTTCCGACTCGTCCCCACCAACCACGGAAAATAGCGCAATCCTTCATACCCCTCCTTCAAACAATGCATGTTCCCCAGCAACTCTAGATTCTGCGCTTGGTTCTTCGCAAAGCCAATTCCAGGATCGAGAATGATCCGCCAGCGCCGCACGCCAGCACTCTCCACAGCTCTAATTCTCTCCATGAGTTCATTGGCAACGCCATTGATTAGCCCGCTGCCGCTGGCGCTACCGGTGCCGCTGCTAGGAACATATGCGCTGTAATCGGTAAGTTTGGTCATTGTCTGTGGCGTGCCGCGCATGTGCATGAGCATCACCGTCTTCTGGAGCTTCGCCATAGTAGCAGGCATGTTTGGGTCCATGGCACCCGCAGAGACATCATTGATGATATCTGCTCCCGCATTAACTGCCGCCTCCGCGACGGCGGCACGATACGTATCGATACTTATAGCGATCTTGTTGGCCTCTGGTAGGGAACGGATAAGTCGGATGGCTGGAATAACTCGAGAGAGTTCCTCTTGTTCAGCCACGGGGACGGAGTCTGGGCGAGTGCTTTCGCCGCCCACATCAATTATGGTAGCACCATTACGGATAAAGGTACGAATAGTCTCGGCGAGGGCGGCGAGGTTTGCGGGGGAGTTTTGTCCGCCGTCAGAAAAAGAATCTGGCGTTACGTTTAGGACGGCCATTAGGTGTGTTGTGCGTGTGGGGTCGGAAGGATTGAGGGGTGGTAGGTGAGGGGATAACGGGGTTACGGCAACCGGGGGGGGATTGGAGGGTGGGAGGGACTCAAGATACGATTGATATGAGAGTTTTTTGTCTGAAAGGGGAGGGCATTCTTTAGGTATTAGTCTATTCTTATGTTAGTAGGGCGCGGCTTCACTACTGCCATCAGGGGTTGATATCTTACTGGCAAAGAGGCCGCAAGACAAATTCCCGCTCCAACATGAGTTTGTGGGGTATGTCCAGTCGAGGGTCGGAGAATTTTAAATTATTGTATAACAAGATATCAAGGTCTATATTACGAGGCCCTTTGTCTATAATTTTGCGTCTTCCCATACCAGTCTCAATTGACTGAAGTGTGTTTAATAAGGCCGTAGGACCCAATGTAGTCTCGATCTATGAGAAATGTTAGATCATCCGATTAAAAGCCAAGACATCCAACGCAAAAGAATAAAGATAGAAAGAAACTAACCTCACAAACACCGTTGAAAAATGACTCTTGATCTGTCACGTACATAGGTGCCGTTTCGAAGAGGCTACTAGTCCGTATGATTCTGATGCCACAAGCTTCCATTTCTCGACAGGCTTGTTCGATCGCAGCAATGCGGTCACCTTGATTGCTCCCTAAAGCGATAAATGCTCGACATGGTGATGCACCCGGTACAGCTGCAGATGCGCTAGCTCCGTATGTTGAAGAGCTAGAGGAACTCCGACGGTGATTCATGGCAGCTAAAGTAAAGCTACGGGTTCCGTGTTTTCTAGAGCAATTTGTAGTTTGACTAGGTTGGTGCTTGCTTCCTACACATTGCCGCAGCAATTGGTCCCTACGTCCCGATGAAACACAGTACCAGGAGAAAGAACGCCTGGAATCAAGCGCTCCCTCCAACGGGGAAGCCGTGTTGATGTGACAAGGCCCAATGGAAGTAGAACCACCTCGATAAGCTACAGCACCTAGCGAGCATTCACGACCACGACTAACAGGGTGTGACGCTTTTCTTTAAACTACAGTTAGCCAATTGGGTCTAATGAAAAAAAATTCATTACTTCGGGGGAGCAGTAATAACAAGGCTACCTTTGTCTGGTCTGTATATGGATGTAAACCTGGCTAATGTGGACTTTCACATGAAGTTGTTCGGGTGAAAGGCGAGGGCGGCGGCAGCCAACTATGCTGCGAAGGCAGCAGTAAAGCTTCTGCTTTTTCATATCTATAGCCCAAGCATGGCAAATATAGCCACCGGGCATCCGAATAGGATCTAAATAGCTTGATTGCGATGTTTCAGTTCCTTTACCATATGGTGAGCGCAGGACGTTGTCTTGATGGTTGTTCCCTTGTGCTGAGTCATGCAAGCGCTTCTAAATATAGTTAACTAACTAGTTAACTAACCTTCTTAGGCAATTTTTTGCAAAGCTAAAACAACCACTGTGGTTGATGCGTTGACATGCATTTTGATCAGAGCGCATCAGGTTGAATTTGATGTTACAGTGGCTTTGTCGCAATTTGGTCCGATGGTATGCTAACCTATCAGAAAAACCCAAGAAATGTTTTAAAACTTAGGGACGTTAACGAGAGGTTAATGTATTAAGATCGGAGCAGCAAGAAGAATAAGTGCCTGTCGGATTGAGTGTCACAGATGAATATGTTGGAGACATATGAATCTTATGTGTATCAAGATCTGCTTGTCATATTATCTGTACACTATCTAATATATCTATTTCATACAAAAGATAGAGCTATTTATAGTAAAATATATGTGCGAGCCAAGAGAGCTAGTATAAGTGAGTATTAGATAAGTGTTGTAGTAAGCTGATAATGATGATGAGAAATATTGTAGTAATACAATGTTGATAGTGTTCAGTAGTGTATAATCTCTTTTTTCTGACACATCTTCTTCAGTGAATGTAACATGTAAATGAAAGTGTAAATGAAAGTATAAATGAAGCTGTAATAAAAAGAGTGTAGATGAATCTTTAGAGATTTTATCAAGATAGATTATTTATTCTGCTTATGTCTCAATGATATCTGATATATCAACTAGGTCTAGCATCTTGACAAATTCTGTATATTTCTGATGTGACAGAGTCTTAGTGAGGTCATCTGCTAGCATCTAGACTGACCGCTGAGACCATGAATTTCACATTTGATCTCATTTGGTCTGGTCCCATACATTTCTTAGCGTGAATCCCGCTGGAACTGGCTATCAAAAAAACATGTAAAGTGACTATATATCAGATCTTAAAATGAAACCATGACTTGAAAAAAATGAGAAAGTGGTTTCATTTGATTTCATTTAGTCTCATTCTTAGCATAAAGTTACTATTTTTAGACATTTTAAGGTTTTTTTTAGACTATTTTTAATTTTTTAAAAAGTAACACTTTTTGATAACACTCAAATGAGATTTAAAGTTATTTAAAGCAATAAAAATAATTTAAATTGAGAAGTGAAAATCATGATCTCATTTAGAAAATGTGATAAGAGTAGATAGTAAGTCTCACTGAGACAGTATGAAACTACTATCTAATGTTAAAACTGTGTAATGAGATCAGTTGAATTGGTAATGAGACTATCAAAAAATCTGGTTCTGGTTTCAGACACGGTCACACGGTCAGTCTACTAGCATCTGAGCTATAGACACTCAATCAACTGTAATATCACTGAATTGAACATGTTCTCAAAGCCAGCTTTCATATATATCAATGTGACAGAGCTTCATAATTATAGAGATATCTTTCTTCATAAGAATGTTAATAATTTAATAGTTATCACATTGAATATGAATCTTATAATCAGATTTAAATTAAATATATTGAAAGAATCTATCTCATTAGATAGACTTCTTATCAGCTTATAAGATAGTAATAAACTTAGCTTCTGTGATAGATGTAGTTATAATTATCTATCTATTTAATTTTCAATTAACAGTCTCACTGAATAGTTTGAAGATATATTCTTATATAGAGTGATGATTTGAATTATCTGTGAAAGAGACATTACTAACAGTTTTAATAATATCAGGTTTAAGATTAAGTTATAGAGATCTATCAATATTATTATTATATTAAATAGCAAGATTCTTTATATTATATAGATAAGATATCATTCTATTTATCTCTGATAAGTGATATTCTGATGAATTTATTATGAATATAACTAGTTTATTCACTGTATATATAATATCAGAGTGAGTTATCATCACTGAGTAGATACAGAAGCTAATATATTATTAATAATAATGAATTTTTACAGATATGACTGACTTATTAAAAGGCTTTAACAGAGTATCAGTTAGTGAGATATATATCTTACAGATGTGTGTGAGATGATATGTATTAACTATCTTATTAATATAGATATTCTGACATAGTCAGAGCTTCAAGTTGAGACAATTATGTATTATTCATATATTGAGAAATCATTTCAAATCTCTTATCTATCAGATCTTATAGGTGTTTTTAAGATCTTTGACTAGTTAATCTCTTTCTTTTAAATCTTCTCATTATAATAGAATGACAATATTATTCATATAGAAGAAAATGATTAATTGATTATTAAAGAAGAGACATCAATTCTCTAATATAGAAATAAAGCCTAGTATTCTCAATATTGAAGATAGTTTATTTAATCAGAGAAGAGATGATCTGTATAATTTATATAGTACTTATAGAAGTTTTAGTATATAATTTAAATACTTTAAATTTTACATTCTCTTCAACTTTCATCATTCATCAGATAGTTTTATATATACTAGCTTATTAATATTACTATTAATAAAGATATTGATTTTATCTAGCTATTTTATATCTAAATTAAATACTGCTATTAAAGCTAACAAGATTCAGAGATTTCTAACAGCTAGTATATAAGCTTTTATAGTGAGATCTGTGATTGATTAAAGATCTCTATATATACAGATACAAGCTTTGTATTTCAAAAGAAAATCTTCATCATTGAATTTATAGATAAATACTTATTATAGAGAGATAATTGAAATATCTCTCTGTAATCTGCTAGTAATTTCATATATATTCTGCAGAGATATACTATCTCATTCTCACTTAACAGTGTTCTCAAATTCTTTGTAATATGAGTGTTTTTCAACATCTGTTCAGTGATTTGATAAATCTGATAGTTAAGATCTATAAATTCTTAAAGTCTGTATGAATGCTGTTAATGTAGCTATATTATTAATAACTGTGAAAACAGTATTAGAAAATAAATTTTGAGACTTGTTAAAGTCTGTGTATGAATTTGAATGATAGAATGCATTATTAATCATTTAATAAGAATTATCTTTGACATTTTCAACTGTTATAAAATAAGCAGCTCTGTGTTTTCATATTCTACAGTCTTTAATAATATTAACTTCATTAAAATCAGCACTGATATTATAAGCTCTAAATGCAATATTCTGTATTTAATTATCTGTTACAGCTGAATAAGTATTAATATCAATATCAGAACTTGTTAGCTCTGATATTGAATCTAATATAGAAAGAATTGAAACATTAGAAAGAATTAAAATATTATAATATTTATACTCATTATTCTTCTTCTCTATTTTTTCAGAGCTTTGAGTATTTTCTTCAGAGTGAAAAACATTAATATCTGCAGTGTCTATAATCTCTTTCAATTGATTGATAGAAGTCATTGATGATTCTCAAACTTTCATATATAGAAGCTTCACCTTCTTAGATACTCAATCTCTTAGTTGTCTTTTGATATAGAAGTCTTCTGAGTTGAATTTTCTATTCTTATCAAATATTATATCTCTTACTCTTATTATCTGTTCTAAGTGTGAAATTCAAATTCAATAGATGTTTGTAGAATCATATTCAACTAGATATTCAATATATACTCAGAGATCTAGCTTCTGAGAGTGATTTCTATTGAGAACTTCATTCAGTATCTTTACATAGATATGATATCTGTAGATTTAAAGATGAGCACAGAAGTAAGATTTGATTTATAGAAATTCTTTCAAAGCTTGTAAAGATAACTTTCAATCTAGAATTCTAGTAGAAGTTCAATTCACTAGATAGATGACAGCAAGTGCAATCTCAGGGAAAAGTAATTGTGATAGAAGAGATTCTATTCATAGAGTTCTTATCTTTATTATTAATATTGCTTCTGCTCACTCTGCTGTATCATTTTACTTATAAATATACTCTGAAGAATACTTCATCTCTAGATCTTCATCATTCACTCAATTTATAAAATTATCTGCTTTCTTGATTGCAGTATCATTGTTAATATGAATGATCTTTATAGTACAGTTGAATTGATGTTTAATTCAATTAATAGCTTATCTAAGAGCTTTTCAGATTTCTGATTTTCAGATAGCTGTTATAGTTATATGAAAATGTAGATAATCACACATGAAATGTATGAGATAATACTCATCATTATAGCACTGTGTAGAGCCATATATAATATTCACATATAGACATTCAAATGATATTTGAGATTTAATATGAGAATATCTAGATATTTGATTTTTTATATTGAATAGATGATAGAGTTTGCAAAGCTCAGTGATAAGCTCATCTGCAGCATCTTCTAGATTGATGATTTGAACATCAGTTGTATCATTTGTAAGTTTTTAAATGATAATTTTTAATAAATATTCTAATCTCTTATATCATGTAGACTGAGTAGCTATAGAGATCTTAGATTTTTAAGAAGATCTTATGTGTATTAACAGGTTGAAAGAATGATTTATAGAAGTTGAAGAATTTGAAGATATCATTTTTTCAGATATAGTAATGTTAGATGTGTGTGATGTGATAACTGTATCAGCTTTGATAGTGAATTTTTCTGAGATAGTTAAGAAAACAGCTGTTTCACTATTATATTCTGTAACTAGCAATCTCTTAAATACTTCAATATATGTAAAAATTGTATTATCTGTGCATTTTCTCAATCTGAAGTCTTTTTCATTATAATAAATGCCTTCTATATGAAAACACAGTTTTCATGTGATGATATTTGTATGAAAATTCAGTATATAAGCTGTGTTAATGAGATTAATATTGAACTGCTTTTCTGCTTCATTTATCATGATAGTTCTAACAGTTTCATAATCTTCAACTTTAGTGCTGAAAATGTCTATATAAACTTTCACATTCTTGTTCACAGATGTAAAGAATAGAAAATGTGTTCAATTATTACTTATATACTATTTTATATCAGTATCAAAGATTCAGAAGTTTCAGAGATAAAAGTATGAATTTGAAGAGTTTATTAATATTTTTCAAATCTGCTGATTGATAGATTGATGATCAATAGATTGAGAAACTAATTACTTCAGAATTATTTCTTCTAG